AACTAGCCTAAATCCCTAAACCCAAAATCCTAAGTATACTAGATAATAAATACATAATCAATCCATATAAAACTTTGGTTCCAAAATTACAAGTAATCCCTCCGTCTCAAAATAAATACACACCTTACTTCTCAAGTAGTCAAATATGTTTAAGTTTGATCAAAACTAAAAAAACGGTATCAATATTTGTATCTCCAAATAAGTTTATTACGAAAGTATACTCCATGCTTAATGTAATAGTATCTATTATGTAATAGTACCTATTATGTAATAGTACCTATTACGAAAGGTACTTCCTCCGTCACATAACAATAGTCGTTCTAAGATATTGCAAAGAAACTAATATTTAATGAAAATAGCCTCGATGCCCCTAGATACTCCTAGAAAAAAAAATGAAAATAGTCGTTCTAAGATTTCATCAACTCTTTTGCTTCTGCGCCGGCCGCTCGAGGACTGCGAGGGCACGTGGGGTACCTTAAGAATACAAAAAATACCAACTATACTACATAATAATAATAAAATATGAAATCGAGACGGAGGTACCTTAGGAGCGAGCGGCCTTGACGCGCCGGCGTTCGTGGCGTGGCCGGCTAGGGCGCTGCGCGGGGGGAGCGGCCGGGCGCGGCGTGGGCGAGCGGCCGAGGCCGGGCTGGGCGGGCGCGGGCGGGGCGAGGCCAGGCGGGCGCGTGCGCGGCGTGGCAGGGCGGCCGCTGGCAGGGCGCTGGCGGCGGCGGCGGCGTTCGGGCAGGCGGGCAGGGGCAGGGTGCGTGCGGGCGGGCGGGGTCGCACGCGGTATATATATATGATCCTGCCGCGCCACGGATCAGGGCGCGGCACTGTCGCGCCAAGGTCGGTGGCGCGGCAGGACCTGCCACATCAGCGGCCCCCCAGGCCGGCCCTCGCCAAGTCAGCCCTCTGCCGCGCCACCACGCATGGCGCGGCACAGGCATTTGGCCACGCCAGGGCAATAGGCGCGGCAAAAAGTGTTAGTTTTAAAAAAAACCAATAGTGTTAGATTTAAAATTATATTCAAAAAAGGGTTAAAATTAAAAAAAAATTACCAGGCGTCACTGGTTTACTGGTCCGACTGTTTAGAACCGATTGAACCGCCGGTTCAATTGTTTTGGACCAGACAAATTGAACCGGCCACGGTTACTTTGAATCGGTATATAATATATATATATATATATATATATATATATATATATATATATATGCTATAATTAATAATTGACATATGATAAATAAACAACACAAATTTAATTGCACAAGTTTTTAGATTCAAAACAAAAGTGCATGATAACGGATAAGAAATGCGGCTCATCTGTTACTACTTTAGGCATGTCGTGGAAAACTTAAATCAATCCTAAATTAATCAAATATGGAGAAAAGATATGCCTAATAACTAATATACTATAATACGAACACGAGCTTCATATATTTATGAATCTTCACATTGACAGATCATATATGCCTAATTCAATCTTAACCCAGGCTCACCATTAGCCATGTCGCGAAGTTCTGACATGGTCGTCTGGAACGGGAGAATAGCAGGGAAGCGCCTGGAGGCCTGGAGTGGTGGAGCCTAGAGCAGAGTAGCAGACAACAACGCTGCAACCGCACGCCGCTGCCGGTTGCGGACGACGCAAGCTCGACCCGCCGCGGCCGCCCGTTGCCTGCCGCCAGCCGCACGCTGACCCGCCCGTAGCTGCTTACTGATGCTCTTGCCGCCGCCTGCTAGACGCTGCACGGAGCAGAAGCGCCGCGCCGCCGCCCAGAACACGAAAAGGCAATTTTTCCCTCCCACTCAACCACTCCCAGCGGCAAAACAACCCTAAAGAGGCATTTGGAGCCAATTTCCAATAATACCCCTGACTAGATAAGGTCGTCTTGAGTGCACTGAGGGGTAATTTTGGAAAAACTCAAAAACTCACCGGTTCGTATGGAACCGGCCGGTTCACCGGTTCCATAAAAAACCGGCTGGTTCAACCGGTTTTTAGCGGTTCGATTGCACAAACGGTCTTTTAAGTGAACCGGACCGGTCTAGGCTCTGGTTCGGTCTTTTAGCGGTCGAACCGCCGGTCGGGTCCGGTCCTAATAACTAGGATTGAAACTTGAGAAAGGGTGGTTTGCTGTTTGCGTCTGTCTGGTCTCCCGAGGGAAGCGAATATCCGCCACGCTGTTGTGTAACCATGACAATCCGGACCAGATATCGAACCACCTAGTAATTACTACTGATATTTTTATATATCAATATCAATATATCATGATATACTATTATAAATACACGTGCAAGTTTTCTACCATACGCGTAGTAAAATCACGTACTCCCTACCTCTCTATTTAAGTGTCGATCTGTCGTACTAGTCAACTTTTCTTAAGTTTAACTAGATTTGTAGAAGAAATATTAGCATTATTTGTATCTCTAATAAATTTATGATGGAAATAGATTCAACGACCTGTCTAACGATGTTAATTGTGTACCATAAATATTACTCCCTCCGTTCTAAATTATAAGTCGCTTTGACTTTTTTGGTTCATATATTTTGCTATGTATCTAAACATAATATTATATATAGGTGCATCGTAAAATAGATGTAACAAAACGACTTATAATTCGGAACGAAGAGAGTAATATTTTCTTGTATATATTTAGTTAGTTGAGTATATTTGATACACACTACACTTAGCTTGGATTTCTACTTAGTGTTAATCTCCAGGTGAGGCATTGATGTCATGGAGAGGTCATAAAAACGATAAAATCTGTCTAGTTATCGCTCGTTACTTCTTAACTGACGAAACATTACTGGAAAGAGTAATATAAAACCCGCACTGAAGATGGCCTTAATTAATAAGCTAAGCGCAACTGATCTCTTTTGCTTTGTTTCATGGCTCCGATGGATGAGTGACAGGAGGCGTCATCGGAGCCACCGATGGTTACACAGGTGCCTGTGCTTTTGCAAGTGGTCGTTGTAACTACCTCCAAGCAACACAAAATCCAGTGGAGCTCACTTTGCTCTGTTTGCTCCGGTCAGCAAACCGCCCGGCCGGTGCAAGGTCAAAACACCAAGAAGAATTTGTCAAAAGGGGTCGTGGCTTGACAAGTCACTTCGCTCCCGCCGTCCCGCGGCGTCTAGAACGTGGTACGTGGCGCCGGGGGCCCGTCGGTGGCAAATTGGCGACGCTATCGTGCTCAGGCCAAACTAAGATATCATTAGCCATTAGTTAATTGGTACTGAGACGGGGGAGATAGATCATGGACGAATATGATGTGGATGGATGGTGTGGACAAGAAGACGCAGGGGAAGCCACGAGCTGAAATAAGGACGCGTCTGATAAGATTCTATCAGATTTACGATCCACTCATAAATATATAGATGTACTCTCTCTATTCCAAAACTCACATCTTGTTTATCAAAGAGTCAAATTTTTTTTAAATTTGACTAAGTATATAGTAAAAAGATATCAATATTTGTATTTCTAAATAAGTTTATTCTAAAAATATATTTCATAACTAATCTAATAATATTTATTATTATCATAAATAATAATACTTTTTCGTATATTTATGATATTCATCGATGAGGGAGTGTGCACTCATTTTTGGGACGGATGGAGCACCTAGGTTTTATTTCCAACTATAGGTCACCGCTCACTTGCAGTTGACCGTGCAAGTCCTTCCCCTTCATGGCTTCTCTGTCCTCTCTAATATCATGTTCTCCTCGCTTCTCGTGATCTCACAAATCCAAGCATGTGTCCTGTTCGTTTGGCTTATAAGTCGTATTTTTTCAGCCAACGAACAATATTTTTCTCTTACAACAGATCAGTCAACAGTACTCTCTGTCATGGCTTATCAGCCAAACGAACAAAACAATGGTCAAGCAGAGCACAATAGATCGAGAAGCATCAATTAAGAAGGGTGGGTGGGCCGCTCCTAGCCTGCTAGTCCTTGAGACATAGTCCTTTGTATTGTGAAAGCTGAGGGCGTCCCCAACATGGGGCTCGGAGCTAGCTACGAAGCTTACGTGGAGGAGAGAGCGTGCAAGACAATTATAGCCTATTCACTGGTTGGTTTATGGACTAATAAATTCGATTGGTACTAGTTTATTATGAGAAAAAAATATTATACCATAACTAATAAGTTTCGGCTAAAAACAAGCCAATAGCCTGCTAGTCTCTAGCGCTTTCCATCTCGCTAGGCTCGCACAGGTCTCGGTAAACTGCATGTCTCTAACTACTTGTCCCATCGGAAGCGACTGATATTGTTTGTGCTTTTTTTTTCCACATTACGCCAACTAAGCTGACGATTTCTCCTGCTTGTTGCGGACGCCCTAAAGGCCTTTGGTCCATTACGTTATTAATGGCGCTTGCAAGCTTGAGAGAAAGGTAAGCACACGTGTGTTAAGCAAAAGTTTGTGAGCAACAATGATTCCCTTAGGTCAGATTGGATGTCTTTCATGTGTTTTTGTGAAAAAAGAAGACCGACTCTTTACTTTGGAACGGGAAGCTACCTCTATTTCAAAGAGTACGTAACATCCTCATCAAAACAGAAGGACATGGTTCCTTTAAAATTCCTGTGAGAATGCTCTGTTCCAAACGGGCCCTTAACCGAAACTCCCAGCGAACAGAATGAGTCACAGACACAGCCACCCCCCGCTCCTGGGCTCCTGGCCCAACCTCGTCTTCGTCGTGGCCCAATTAGTTGGCATCGGTGTCCCACGCCCCCAGCGGCCCAGCCCCCCACCACTCGGCAACTCCCATTCACACAGGAGACTCACCGGAGCGTGGCGGCGGCGCGGCGCTATCCCATCCGCGGCTCTGCGCGCAGTCGTGGCGGCAGCGGCGGCGCGCGTCCCTGCTGTGAGCTTCATCGCCCCGTGTCTGTGCCTGTCGTTGGTTGATATTCTTCTCTTAGCGCGCCTCTTCCCATGTCGCAGTAGGACGGAACCAAACCCTAACCCTACCTTCCTCCACCGCGCCTTCCTCGTGAGGCCGTATACATGGACGCGAAGGACATACTAGGGCTTCCGAAGACCCCCTTCTCGTCCTCCCAGGAGAAGAAATCGCGGCCGCCCAAGGAGCCTCAGCGCAAGCCTGATGGCGTCTCGCGCGAGGTATTTCTTCACCCTGGCTCCTAGTCGCTGCTGCGTGCCTGCGATGCTGATAAAATCTTGGAGATGTAGGTCTATGCCCTCACTGGAGGGGTGGGAATGGCCCCGCTCATGCCGACCATCGAGGCATCCCACCTGAAGCGGCGGCCTGCTGCGGAGAAAGAGAAGGTGAGGGAATACAATTCTTCTCGAACCTATTGAAATGGGATGGCTTCTGAGCTGCGCTGAGCTTTAAGCTACTCATAAACCACACACGTGCAAAATTGGTGAAGTACATTGCTTATGTAATTTGAACCTGGAAAACTAAAATGCTGACCACTTCGTATACACATACTGTTTGGATTGCCAATAAAAACAGCTTTATGTTACCAGATTAAGTTTCCTCATGTGCGTTGGAACCACATGAACTTGTTAACCTGTGACATGTTTTTGTATATATGAAACCCCTTAGACTACAAATAAATATCCTAGTTCGTAATCAGCAGAAGTGCAGTTAGAGCCAAGCTTATATAGAACTATATATCTTTGTATTAACCGTTCATTCACTGTGTGTGGTGAAGATTTTTGCATTGGATTTGTGACATATTTGTGAAATGTTACATTTGTTACCCCATAGCAAAGCAATTCAACTTGATGTGAGCTTCTCATAGAATGCAGAAGATGACTACTCTTATCTAGCTATCTGGCTGTTTGATGCTATTGGAGATAGGGGCCACTTTAGTCTAATTGACAAAACCATTTTTATATCTTATGCAGGTAGCATGGCAGTGGTTACCTTTCAAGTCATCTGCACGAACTGATAACCTTCAACTCTATCACTGGGTCTGTATCTTGCTCTGCTAATGTGGTGTATGTTGAAAAATAGTATGACTTACTCACACAATAACTAGTTCTCACCAATTCGATTTTTCAGGTTAGTGTTGTTAATGGTATTCAGCCAACTGGTGATTATCAGTTTGCAAAATATAACAAGGTAAGAACTATATTATGTTAGGTACATAATTGAGCAAGAAGCCTTTCCTTTCAAAACTTGGGGCTTACCCTGTGTCCCTGTCTTTATTTATCCTTCTGATTTTGCAGAAGGCAGATGTTGTTAAATATACTGGATGAGGAGTACGAGAAGTTTTTAGTTGACCCTGTAGGTAGGTACTTACTTAGTACTTGCATTTTTTTTTGAAATTTAGTGTCTGATTTGTTTCTGTGCTTACGTTTTGTGCTACCCACACTTCATATTCTGGAAAGAGCGAATCTGGCGTGTCACAAATGTTCATTTTCATATGGTTTTCTAGTTATAGTATATTAGAAACTGAATTATAGTTTAGCTAGTATATTAGAAACTGAATTATAGTTTAGCTCCCTTTCCCATCTTAACAAGATAGTCTAACTTCTAAACATCTGTTTGATATTGCATTTTTGTTTGTTAGCGTGGCATGCTTGTTACTCCATCCGTTCCAACTTCTGTTTTATAAGCTGCCAGTTGGAACGACACGGTCTTCTAAATTACACTTTGACCATTCATTTACTTTATATTATAATATTTATGCTTATAAACTTGTGATTATTAGATAGTACAATTGCTTGCAAATCTAACTGTTCCAAGTTTGTATTATAATAGTTAAAAATTATTAGTCAAATTATTGGTCAAATTTTTAAAGTTTGAATCTTGATATGCATGTGTGCCTTATAAAAAGGAACGGAGGTAGTAACATATAGGCGGCGATCCTGCTGCTGCTGATCTTGTAGGGTTAGTACCCATTCATGTGAAAGTCCTTTAGAGTATTTGAATTCATAAACGAGAGATTTCATATTCTGCTATTGGAATATGTATTTCAGACATTAAATATACCTATTATTTATACCCAAACTTAATAACAGAATTTCTTTTTGCAGTGGTATGACCTTTTTGCTGAAGGTTTATATTGGTTTAATAAATAAACTTATGTTGGAAATTTTGAAATCTTCAGTCATGTTTTTACCTTACTGTATGTATACACTATTGTTCAGTAATTTGTCTACTTTAACAGAAGCATTTCTAGAATAGAACAAATAGACATATGTCAAATTTTTTTGACCTTACTGTATGTATACGATATTGTTCAGTAATTTGTCTACTTCAACAGAAGCATTTCTAGAATAGAACCAAACATATGTCTAATTTTGGTCTGCGGCCGTTTTGGATATTCACGAACTTATTGGTTTTGGGGGTTTAAATTTTCAGGATTTTCCCCCCATGTTCTTTCCGAAGTTCTAAAAGAAATATGTGGTGTACCTATTTCAGGATTGGAGCAAGGAAGAAACAGATCAGCTATTTGAATTATGTGAACGATTTGACCTTCGCTTCATAGTAATAGCAGATAGGTTTCCAACTGCTCGCAGTGTGGAAGATCTGAAGAGTCGTTACTATTCTGGTAATTTAATCATGATATCTTTGGGGTCAGAATGTCAAATAGAACATGCTTTGTGAATTTTCTTCCATTTTTAATCTTTGTTTATATATGCATTAGACTAAGGCTATTGGCCCTGCTTTTATATTGAGAGCAATTAAATATGCATTTTTTTGCTCAGGAGCAAACATTGGTGATGTATTTTTGGTTGTTCTGTCTATATTCAATGTACAAGTAATTATTTGTCAGTGGACAGTTGTCGGTGTTTCGAGTTACCAACTAGTAAATTTCTAGTATTGCGCGTCTGGCTCGGATGGTGTGCTTAGAGGACACGAGGTTTATACTGGTTCGGGCAGAAAGTCCCTACGTCCAGTTTGTCGCTGCTGCTCGTGTTATTAGCACTGAAAGTTTGTAGTACGGGTTACAAACGAGCGAGAGAGGGACATGTCCCAAGTCTCTGATGTGCGTGTGCTCTTAAGGCGTGTTAGGGCGTGTGTTTTGATGTCTACAACCGTGTAGAGTGGTGAACCGCCGTCCCCACTCCTGGGGCGTCCTGCTTCCCCTTTTACAGACGAAGGGGAAGAGCAGGTTACACAGAGAGAAAGAGGGAGAAGAGCCAAGGAGAGGAATGCTTCTAGGACCGCTGGGCCTTTCTTCTCCTTTATGCGGGTCCCGTCGACACTGCAGATGGTGACAGGGACGGCTCCACGCCGGGCGCCTGTTCGCCGCTGATGCCACGCCCCGGCGTTGTCAGCGGGTCGTGACGTCCCATTCCGTCCCGGCGTGCGACGTGGCGAACCAGCGTGCTGGTCAGCGGCCGTACGGGGAGTAGGCAGCATAGTGACCACGCGTCCGTCACTGTTGGTGATGTGAGTTCCCTGGAGTGACATGTCACGGGCACGGGTCATGTTGAGATGTGCCTGCTCCCAACACGATGCCAGAAGTTTGACCTTGAGTTGTACTTTCTGGCCCGTAATGGTTGGCGGCGGTACGGGCTTCTGTCAGGAGCCGCGCCTGAGGGGTCGGGCGAGACGGAGCCCCCGACCCAGAGGGCCGGTGAGGCGGGGCACCCGACCCAGAGGCCGGGCGAGGCGGAGCCCCCGACCCAGAGACCGGGCGAGGCGGGGCCCCCGACCCTGAGGTCGGGTGAGGCGGGGCCCCCGACCCAGAGGTCGGGCGAGGCGGAGCCCGTGCACCTGGGGTCGGTTGGAGCTGTTGTCGCGCTCTTGACTACTCGGATGAATCAATGTTGATGACCATTAGCTCCTCCTCTTCGGGTACCCTAGTATTGGTCCCCGACAACAGTAACCTTTCAATCATAACGTGTAAGATATTTGCATGCGCTGTCTATCATAGATGTTCTAAAATCTAAACTGCTCTCTTGCAGCTTCTTTTTTACTTCTTTTAAATTGATGAAGAAAGTCTTGAACATTGCCATAGCATTTGGTCTGCTGTACAAATGTATTTTATTTGTACACACCTTCTTTGTACTATGTTATGTTACCAGAAGTTTGGTGGCATCTTGACTTACTATTCACCTATTAAATCAATTATTATTGATAAGCATGTATGCACAATTTGTGTGTATTTCCACCATCTCAATCTATATGTTATACCTTAGCTCTATAGTCATCGTCGTTTTTATTTTTGCAGCTTCTCAGACTCTTCTAATTCATAGAGCTAGGTCATTCGAAGATGTTTCTGGGAATCCCCTTGTGAAGGTAGTGCTTAATTCTCTTCCCTAATTAAATGTAATTACTTCATGTCATGATAAATTTTGTCCTGTACTTACATATGTCAACTGTGTTTGTTCTCAGGATACCTATGATGCTGCTCATGAGACTGAGAGGAAGCGTGCATTATCAGCACTTCTCTCCCAAACAAAGCAGCAAGAACGAAAGGATGCCGAGGTGAGAAATTTGCTGACTTTTGCAGTTTTACTATTTGCTAGATTCTGTTGTTGTGTACCTAACTACCAAATGTTGCATTTTCAGACTTTAGCAGATGCAAAACGTATTATGGAATCTCGTGCTGCTAGCAAAGTGAGTAACCATTCCATGTTAGTACATGTCCTATAGCACGAATTATCTAATGCAATAAGCTTTTAATGATAATTTGTATGGTATTTATGGGATGAGTTTCTTTTGCAAAGCAACTGATGGTAAAACATCTAGATATTTGTTATTTTTTCAAATTAATAGAACCTTTATCATTTGGATATTCCAGGTGCATGCCAATATTGTTCATCAATTCCCCTTTCTATTTCAATTGTTGGTACTTTCAAGAGTAAATGGACACTGCTTGATGCTAATGGTATGGATTGTTGGATGTCTAATTGTTTGATGCTTTGTAGAATGTTGATGAAGCTGTAATGCCTCCGAGCTCTGATAATGCTATGGTTCCTGTTGATGGTGTATCTCCATCAAGCAGCACTCATCCATCTTTAGCGCATCCAAATACAACAGCTAACACCTTGATACCTAATTCACTACGAACGGTAATCCTGAAACTATTTCTGGTTAAGTCTTATGGTTGATTAATTTACATTTTAAGTTAGGAAAAAGTCTACTTAACCCCACACCTTTCATACATGGTCTACTTCACCCTCCAACTATGAAACCATCTATTTTACCCCATGAACTTTCCAAAACCGTCTATTTTGCTCTTCGGGCGGTTTTTGACAGCGTGTTGCTACAGTAACAAAGGACTGCTACAGTAACGGTGGGTTGCTACAGTAACGGTGGGTTTGAATTTCCTTTTTTTATTTTCGGTGAATCTTTGAAAAATCATAGAAAATCATAAAATAAAAAATCTAATTTTGTTGGACTCCACATGAGTAGATCTACATAGTGAATATATAATACGGTATGCTTTAGTACAAAATTTTTACTGTACCCTTAGATTAATTGGAAAATCTAATTTTGTCTGTAATTAATTGGAATAATTCATAGCTGCAGCTTCTATGGTCCAATTGTGGTGAAATTTTTATGGTACGCTAATTATTGTATGCTTGAACTATAGTAAAAATTTCGTACTCATTGGACTATGTATAACTTAGTTATAGATAAATTCTAATTAATTACAGAAAAAATTGGATTTTCCAATTAATCTAAAGCTACAAAAAAAATTGTACTAAAGCATACCGTATTATATATTTACTATGTAGATCTACTCATGTGGAGTCCAATAAAATTAGATTTTTCATTTTATGATTTTTCTATGATTTACTATGATTTTTCAAAAATTTATCAGAAATAAATAAAAAAAAGAAATGTCAAACACAACGACACTGTAGCAAACCCACCGTTCCTGTAGCAACCCGCTGTTACTGTAGCAACCGTTGTCAAAACCAACCCGGGGGTAAAATAGACGGTTTTGGAAAGTTCAGGGGTAAAATAGACGGTTTCATAGTTGGGGATGAAGTAGACCATGTATGAAAGGTGGGGGTTAAGTAGACTTTTTCTTTTTTTGTTACGTTGACAGATGTTCTTTTTACCCTGAAGAAGCTACAGAGATAATTTTATTATGCAATAAGACCAGCCGTAATTCAGCTTATCACTCTCAGATTTTACTACGCATCCGTGTCAGCACTCACCACTACTCAGTGACATCTAAAGGAGAATAAATCACATACGTTCAAGATCCAATTATATATGTTTTTTCAGTGTTGATTCCTGCATTAGATCTGATATCACCTTAATTTTTATTATTATGAGGGTTTTGTCAGGACATTGAGGTTACATGAATACGGTGCCCCACTTTGGTTCCTAGGGACTAAACTTCAGTCCTTGTCACATCGAATGTTTAGATACTAATTAGGAGTATTAAATATAGATTAATTATAAAACTAATTGCATAAGCCGTGACTAATTCGTGAGACGAATCTATTAAGCCTAATTGGGCCATGTTTAGCGAATGTGATGGTACAATAAACATATGCTAATCATGGATTAATTGGCTTAATAAATTCGTCTCGCGAATTAGTCTCGGCTTATGCAATTAGTTTTATAATTAGCTCATGTTTAGTCCTCCTAATTGGCATCTAAACATCCGATGTGACAGGGACTAAAGTTTAGTCCTGGGATCCAAACACCCACAAGTGAAACTTGGATAAATGCCATATTGCCATGTGGTGTTGGGAATCATATATCAACCTCACAGCGAGTGGCATTTTTGAAAATGCATACCTTGTAGTGGAATTTATTCAAGCTTTCCATTAGAAGTACTGAACTACTGATGTTGTGTTCAAGAAGGATGTTGTGTTGGAAGGCACAAAATAGGTGCTACATTTGCAAATATGTTTTTGCCACAAACTATAGATATATGGTGCATCAGGTTCATAATCAGGTGCAAAAATGAATCCATTTGATGTCTGAACTGTATTGTTGTTCTAATAGTGATGCGTTGAGTAGTGCAGCTTTCCACTTTCATTTCTATGGGCTTAAGTAGACCCGTCTTTCCTTTCAAATGTATAAATCATTAAATACAAATAGATCCTATTTATTTTTGAAAGATGATTGTAATAGCGTGTTTCGCCGATTCTATGAAATATACCTGCCTCTTAGTGGTAAACACAGAACAAATAGACCTACTATTAATATGCCACTGGTGGCTGGTGACCACTTTTCACCTTATCTGGTTAACTCAGTGTAAACATTGTACATCTATCTGCATTTTTCTTATATATGCATATGACCTGTATACTTTCTCTTTCAGCTTCGAGTGTATTTGAGAACCCATGCCCTTGACCAAATGGTTCAAGCAGTAGGTGCTTCAGCTGGCCTTAGAGTTATCAAAAGGGTTGATCAGACACTACAAGAGCTAGGGGTTCGTTCTGTACTAGATGCACACAAAATTAATTTGTGAAATGGCATAAATATATTTCAGCAACCACCTTTTTTAGGTGAATTTGAAGCCTAAGGTTCCAACGAAAGCAGTTTGCATAGAACATATTGAACTGCGGAATGAGCTACTCACATTGCTTAACCTACAAAAGCAGGTACATTTTTTAAGCCTGAGCATCCATGTTCTTTAGCATTTTGCAACTTGCATATACTTTTAAATTTGCATTAGGTAAGTGTTGATTCCCATTTTTTATCTTCTTTTTTCCGAAGCACCTGTTGAATAAGATGGGAAGGGAAAAAGGGGGAAACTAAGCATATCTTCAAATATTTGTTCTTTCCCTTCAGCTAACATGTCTTTTATGTTAATAGCTGCAAACTAAAGAGGCTGAAGTTTCAGCTAACCGGGAAAGTTCCTTCACAGAGGCACCAAGCACACCTAAGGTATATAATATAATATATGAATTACCTGCCTTTTTCTTCTTTTTATCAGTGTGGAACTGTTGTAAGATAATGTGAAGTCATTCAAGTCATAAACCTTGGAGAATAGATACGTCAGAATGCAAATAGGCTTCCTCTTGTTCTAATCTGTCGTAGAGTTATGTGGCTGTCTCAAGTAGTTCCTTGATAGAAGATATGAAGAGCTTAGTGGGGTATTAACGGGGTTGTGCAAAACAATGACAATATATGTTAATTCACAGCACTTCAAGATCCAAATATCCTGTTAACTGAAATGTCTAGTGGAACCATCTAAAAAGGTCTAGTGGAAAATTATTGCTGAGACAGTGAAATATGTTTCCCCCTTTTGCGGTAATAGTTATGCTCGCTGGCTAGTGCCTTATCAGGTTCCAAACATTAGTTGCTTTCTATTTAACAACATTATTGTGTATTTATTTGCAGCGTTCTAAAAGGGACATTGATCGGCCCTTCATCCATGATACAATTGGGTTTACAGGTATTTAAAAGCAGACACTTCAGTTTTTTACGCCTTCCGTCTTCAATATGAGGGGTTGCCTATTAATATTTTGCATTATCCTGCTTCATGTGACATCAGGTGAAAGAGCAGGCAAACGGGACCACAAGCGGAAGGTTTATTGTTTTTAAACTTTAATTCTGCTGTTAAACTTTACTCGGTTTCTTTTATGGTACATGCATGTCTTTGAATTGAAGTATCCATGCTGTTTCTACAATGTCTGTTAGATTACAGACAATTTAATGGATGCCTAGTATTTCCTACTACTATGGACCTATATGAGTTCAATTGATCTTTTCATCTGCTTTTAACTATGTTATGGATTCATTTCATCTCAAATCATTTTTGCCAGACCACTGGAAGATTTATAGATGCGCCTCCATCACCACCCCAGTCCAAGCGGCCTAGAAAATTGAAGGGATCTGACTGATAATGCTGTTCAAATAGCAGGGATGAAAACTCTGTAGTCAAACAACCAGGTATGCCATATATATCATACTGAATTTAAACAAATATATTTTCATGTCTATTTAGTCCCCACTTTAGAGCTGAAGATTGACTTTTACATCACTTTTTTGATTTATGTAGCACTTACAGCCTTACAGTCTTACAGTAGAGATGAACTAGAATAGGTCCGCGACGGCATCTGTGGAAGTCCATTGGGCTGGCCAGTCATGCAGATGCAGGAACCAGCTTTCGTTGCTAGCTTAGAATCATGTCGGTTTTGGATTTGTAATTTGTATAATGTATCTATTATTGTCATGTATGTACAGAGATAACTGTGAGATCGAAATCTTTACTGTTCAGCAGATTTCTGAATTCTGAGCTTGGCAAAGGCTCATGTATGGGAGACCAATAAGACCGACAATTCCGTTTTGCCCCTGTCCAACCAGCGCGGTCAATTGGTTCACCCAATAGACGTTATGTTTAACAAACAGCTTTTAAGAGCCCGGCAGTGCCTGTTTGCTTACTCATACCCTGCCGCGAGCTCGTCAGGCAGCTCCTTTAGGGCTTGTTTGGTTTGATGGTGATTGGAGTGAGATTGAAGGAGATTCAAATCTCCGACAAATCAAACTTGAAGTTATTTGAAGCTTCTTTATACTATTTAAAAAACTCCGCACATGTTTGCTTTAGTCTGGACTAGAAGATGAAGCTTCTCTTGAAATCTACTTGTCTATAAACAATATATATCGGAGGGATCACTGCGCTAATCGAAATCTCCGTTTGCATTTTCTAGATAGGTAACTTTTACTGCATATCTAAGACTGACTACTTATAAAGCACCAACACATCTAATGTAGGAAATGAGAGGCTTACAATAAAGTTTAGTCACCTAAATCAGCTTCTAAAGTTTAGTCACCTTTCTGTTTGGTTTGGTAGACTAAAAGAGGCCTTTTAGTCCCTTTTTAGTTAGGGTGTTTGACTGCAAAATGACTAAAAGGTTTGCAGCCTGACTAAAAGGTGAGTTTTAGTTTCATTTAGCAACACTTGGGTGACTAGTTAGCTAATGCACTTTTTAGTCTATTTAATTGTAGTATTTGAGTAAAAGTGACTTAATGAGACTAAATTTAGGAGGTAAAGAGCGAACAAACACCCCCTAGCTTCTCGGAGGAACGGGATAGATAGATAGGTGCTCACGTAGTGTAGGAACCGGGGGAAAATCATTACGGCTCATTCCATTCAGCTTCTCGTTGGATTGGTCTGTGCAACGTCGAGCCATTCAGCTTCTCGTTGGATTGCTCTATGTAATGTGACGAGTTCTTCACTGGTGAAGTACTAGAGGGCTGATCAAGTGGGCATCGTACTAACATGCTGTTTGGTTCGGCGTTTTCGCCCCATCAGCGTATAAGAGATTATGTTATTTTATGTTTGGATGCTTGGTCCGTAAGAGCATCTCGACGAGTATACTATATTTTCTTTTCCAAAAATATGTAGTTTTGTAATTTCTAAAAAGATATTAGTAGAAAAAAAGAAGACCATCTCCAGTCATTTTCAAAAAATACTTCTAAAAATCATCAAAACTTTGGTCGCAGCAGTCGATGATGACCGCGGCACTGTTGTTGTCCTTGCTTTCCTCCTCGTACGCATTGATGTAGTGGATCGCCATGAACGCCGGCACCTCCACGCTCGCCACTGTGTTCCTGGTGGACCTGCACATGACGTTCATGTATCTCCTGGACGCCGGGAGCCTGTGGAAGGCCGAAGGCGTAGTACGGGGCGAGCTCCGACCTGATTAGGCAGCTGGACGAGCACCGGCACTACTACAATAATAATTTTGTAGGGGCGGCTAAACATCATTTGTAGAGACGGCTCAGCCAGCCGTTTCTACCATACTGTTTATATAAATTATGTATTTGTAGGGACGGTTCCCAGACCGTCTTTACAAATCGATTTGTAGAGACGGCTGGTGTTATCAGCCGCCCCTACAAATCAATTTGTAGGGGCGGCCTATAAATCGATTTATAGGGGCGGTTACAGTACCAACCGCCCCTACAGTATATTTTTCCGTTCAAAAAAAAATTCAAATTTACAATTCAAATTCGACTAGAACATATATTTTTCATGCACAACTCCATCATGACTTATCTTCTTCTGCGATTGTACTGAAACTCAAATCTCTACAACATGAGTATTGGTTCAACTACAATGAACATATTACTTAATGCTAACTTGTTAGATGAGAAACTCTACAACATAAATATTGGTCCGACTGACCATAAAATGCTATCATGCTGCCTAGATAGCTAAAGATGTTAACAGCTAAACAACAATGCTAAGACAATGAACTGATCCATCGTGAGTCCAAGTTCTTCCAAAACCTGGAAAATCATAAAGAATGGCTAAGACACTATAGGATAAAAGAAGATAAAGAAAATATGTGATGATACCTTTGACACATCAAATTCTGTCACATGAGATTTTTTATAACCAAGGTCAATTAAGTGACGAAGAAACCTTCGGGCACCAAAAGTCAGTGAGTCCATGTCCTCTGAAGCTACAGCATAAACCTGGCATTCACAACTCAGAATGGAATAAAAAATAAAATTATGCTAAGATACAGGAATTAACTTGGTATACCTGGTGATTTTCACAAAGTGCTGCACACTGTGCTTCAGCCTCCCCTGGTGCCTGTGGAAGTGATCAGGAAACTTAATTACTTATTATCTTTTTTCTCGAACACGCAGGAGAGCTACGTGTAATTCCGTAAAAAGGTAGAAGCGGTCCAATTACATGCCGGTTCCACGGCTTGGGCTAGTTTTTCAAAGGATTTGTGGTCTTTTACCTTATTACCTATGATTCTATAACAGTACGAGATCACAAAGACCAGGTACCATGCTTGCATTGCTGCCATCAAATCAGAGTACAGAATGTGGTCCAGACAGAAGAATCACACCCGCACCCGATAAAAAAATCAAATTGTGTTTTTCTCCGTAGTGATAATATCTATATCATGTGTGGGCAGCTATTGATTGCCAAAGTTTACATATCAACGTGTGCAATGCGTAGCAATGGTCTATTTGTACTAGTTAAAGCCCAATCTTAACAGCAAATAAGTTTAAATCGATACCAAAAAGACATCTTATTTTCAGTTAAGCCATCTGCTTAATCCCCATCAGCAAGAAACTTGGCTAAGCTTACCTAAAAAGTTTCTAGAGCCCTAAGCTCATGAACCTAGAGGGCTGACTCATGAGTTCAACTTGAAATGTAGTCCCTCAGGCCATGTATCTATGGTGTTTAAAAACTGTATACTATTAGAGATATGTAGAGTCTAGAGATATGTATGTATTTTAAGAATATTCCACCTCGGTCACAAGCTCAAAACAGCCCTCATTAAATTGTCTCCCAAGGCTCAAGCGCTTTAGAGAGGAGCATCGAAGTTTTTCCCTGCATGCTTAATCTGTGCTAAAAATCTCAGGAATGCTAATATACAAGACAGAGGGAATGGCTTAAACCTGTCTGAGAAGCCATACAAATAGGAGTTAACCAAACGCTTAAAGCATCCTAGTGCAAAACCATTCTTTAAGTTCAAAAGATTATCAATATTCTACTGACCCCCCTTGGCACTGGAAGAAGACATCAATAAACGGCAGTAGCTGATCTGTATAGAAAAGTAAAGAAAAACAACTTAACTGACAGATGGACAAAAGCAATAATGATACCTCAACCACAGGGACGCCCATCAATCTTAACAGCCTCTTGCAGTCATCATTGTGTTTTCTTGTAACCTGGAAAGGGAAGGCAGAAATCACAGTACATGCTCAGAATGACTCCACAAGTTAACAAAAAATAGTACTAACACTCTCAATTTGCTTAAAAGGCTTAAACCGTTTTGCTAAAGAGACTCCAAATGACATCTTTCATGCAAGACTAGAAGGTTGCTTCATCTGATATAAATTCAAGGACACTTTTCATTGCTTATTTCTTGAAAGAGTATGATCATTACCTTGACAGTTCTTTTACTAAATTTTTCAATTGCATCCTCATCCCCAATCTGTAATGCAATTGGCACTTTAGAAATCCATCAAAAACAATGAAAAAGATAAACAAGGTCGGTAAGAAAGCTCTAAAACTACATTGAGGACCAACCTCCATAGCTCTGTTAAGATCTTGGGTAGCATCATCCCTCTTCAAGGACCTAAATAATAGCAAATATCAGAAATGTGTGTATTGAGATTTAATAGTGAATATGAGCAAAGAAATAATTTGACGCATACCTTTTTGCAAGCTCCTTTTCTTCATTTCAGGTGGCTCACCATAAAAACAAATCTAGCATAAAAGCTCAGCACAGTCAGCAAAAGTAAGCTAACTGCAAATAGTTGACAAGGACCACAGGAATGCAAGAAGCTTACACGGGCTTTATCCTGCTTCTAACATTCTTACTGTCCGGTTCAACATACCCTGCAGATGACTACACAGTTCACAGAGATGGAAAGTTAAATAAGCTAGATAATGATCAGACCACAGGCCACAGGCAAGGCAAGCAATATTTCTTGCCTTGTGATTTCACCAGCATCATTGGTCAGAAGCTCTGATCCTTTCCTTCCAACCACGATCTGCAGGAATTAACGACACTTTTATATGAATCAAATGAAAACTAGACAAAAACACTATAGTACTATGACCCAATAAACAGTTAAATACAATAATACAAATGCCTGCACATGTTAATAGCATGAAACTTTGAGAGAACAAAAATTGTGCCGCTCGTAGTATTGCCTCCCCGCGACCCGCATCGAGCTCATCCTCGCCGCCGCACCCGCTTGTTAGATCCAGGCTCGTCCTCGCCGGATCTGGTGGTGGCCACTCAGATCTGGGCTGGTCCTCGCTGGATCGAGCTCATCCTCGCGCGGATCTGGTGGTGGCCACCACCATGTGCTTCATGCGGCCTCCAGCAGCGCGCCGGAGGAGAGAAGGTGAAGGGGACCGCGC